AGATGTGTATAAGAGACAGCTTTTGGAGTCTCCCAAGATGTTCGTGTACAGCCTATTTCTTTGGATACTCCCCACGCTCCTAAATCACATCTAGTTTCTCGGCCCGCCTCCTCGTTGTCCGCCTCATCGCCTGCTGGTAATGGTCATGACAGACCCATTTGACAGTACCTTTGTGGTGTGGGCGACGGGGAGGTAAGACGTCGAGCGGTCCATCCCTGCTCACCTCGTCGAATCGGGTTACAGAAGGAACAAGAACATCGTCTTCTACTATTCGTCAAGACTCTCCTGGTGTTGTCAGCCGGGCCTCTTCGCGGATCGCACACGAGCCTTCTTCTACACTCGTCGGGAACCCCGTCGACCCTCCTTCTCTTTCGCAGCTTTCGTTGTCTTCGACCGTCCGCTGCCCCCGTGTGACAGCACCTGATACGAATGCGTCTTCCTCTGCTGCCCACCACGTGCTGACTGCACCACTGCCATCGGGATCGGATGGTAGTGCCCACCATTCTGTGGGAGGTTCGGCTCCTTTGTCAAGGGGGAGTAGTCAAGAGCGCCCTGCGTCAATGATCAAACATCCGTCTGTTGTAGGAATGACTTCTCCTAACGAACGGGTCTCTAATAGCCGAATGGCCTCTGCTAACATTGACCCCGCCGGAGCCGCCGCCCTAAGGCCGCCCGCCGGATCACGGCGCGCTGCTACTTCGCCCGCTCCTGCCTCGCTTTCTGGGTCCTCCCCGTCGGAGAAGAGGACCCGTCCGCCTGGTCCACCCCCGCCTGTGCCTGGTGCCCGCCTTTTGCCCCTTCGCCCTACACCGGCTCCGCCGTTTGATGACAAGTGCGAGTACGCTTCGGATGACGTCCTTCTTTTCTGGAAACCTCCGTCTGTGTTCTCGCAATGGACTCCTTCGGCTTTTGACGTACTGGGGGTACGTTATTCATGTGGTGAGCAATTCATGATGTCTGAAAAAGCGAAGTTGTTTGGAGATATGACGTCGTATGACAAAATTATGGCTGCAACAGATCCTAAGACACACAAGTTTTTGGGTCGAAATGTGCGTCCTTTCGACTATGCTGAATGGGAGCGTCGTCGTGAAGAGATCGTGCTTACGGGGTCGTACGCCAAATTTGCTCAAAACCATGACATGAAACATCATCTACTGGAGACGGGTACCCGCCTCCTTGCAGAAGCCAGCCCCTTCGATCGTGTTTGGGGTATCGGCATGTCTGCATGCTTTCCAGATGCTAGCGATTCATCCAAGTGGGCGGCTAGCGGTAAAAACTTGTTGGGAAAAGCTTTGATGGAAGTTCGACGCCTTTTGCGTGATCATCCCCTCTCTGGCGAAGATTTCCCCGCTTCCAATTCTCCCACGCCCCCCATTTCGCAGCCTCCTCTCCATGGACATCGACGCATTCATGAGGTTGCTACTGCTACAGGTTCTTCGCTACGGAAGGACCCGGGCGAAGACCCAGCTTGTCTACGTTTGGACGCTCCGGGGGACCATGCTCCTGGCGTTCATCTGGTGGCATCGACCTCCGCTTGTGCAGACCAGCCTCCTCTTCTCGAACATGGTCCCGATCTGGTCGGCGGCACGCTCCTGTTGGACTCGGACTCATACACCACCCGGGTCCTGCTGCATGGAGGACCTACAGCCACTTCTCAACTCGCGCGAGTGGCGCTTCTGGACTCTGGGTCTCCTACATCCTTCGTTTCCGACTCCGTGGTCACCGCCATGATAGCTGCCGGAGCCCTGACAGCTGGCAGCGTTCGTGTTTCGCCCTCTCGTCGTTGGGGTGGGTTTGGTGATGGACCCGCCCTTGTTACCACCCGGTCGATTCGTCTCACCGTTAATTTTCTCCATGGAGATAGAGCTACCGCTTTCTTGGCGGTCTGGGCCTGTGTTGTTCCAGACGCCGCCATGGGGCACGCCGTGCTTCTGGGTCGTGATAGCTGGATGCGCTTCAACTCTCGCGTGTTCACCACCCTCCCCCACCCTGGACCGGACGGCCGGGTTATGGGCGAGCTCACGCTCTCTCCGCGTTTTACAGCTGGCGCTTGCGTTTACGCTACACACGACGACGCTCCTACCTCCTCGTTTCACCTTAAATATGCAGGGAGCTCGGGAATTTCTTTGGGGCCGGAGCCTGCACTCGTTGAGGTGGACCTCGTTCGTTCTTCTGGCATGCCTGCGCTGATTGGAGAGTATCTGGTATCGTTCAAACCCGAAGTGGGTGCGCTTTCTTCCCCAGATGCGTTCGTTTCAAATGGTCTCCAGCGTATTCCCCTTGCAGGTTGTGCCGAGCTCGAGCCGGGAGACGTAATTGGAGTGTCTGCCGCGCCGCTACTACGAGTACCGGTGGAAACCCTGAAGGCGGCACCATCTTCGATTCCTACCGGCCCCACAACATCTACATCACCACCTCGGGTCAACGCCGTTGGCCCCAAGTCCGGGACTCACCGCTCTCCGGACCCAGCCTCCGCCCCGCCTCCTCCGAAGCCGCCTCCACAAGAACTACTCGACCGCTTTTCTGAGGCACAGCGCTCCAGCTTCATGCGCTTGTGGGCTAGGCTGCCCGCACATATGCACGACATCGCTTTCGATCTACACAATCCGGGATGGACACCGGAGGCTATTGATCGTTTGGCCGACGCCCTTGTGGAATATTCTGACGTGTTCTCTACTTCGAAAACCGATTTTGGTTCCTGCAACATAATGCCGTTCACGCTTTCTGGCCCAGCAGGGACGAAGCCCGTTGCATCAATCTGTTGATGCAAAAGAAAGTGGATGCCGTTTTGGACCAGTATTTGGCGGCAGGGCTCATTCAACATTCCACATCTCCGTGGGCTTCTCCTTTAGTTGTCATCCCCAAGAAGGACGGATCGATTCGCATCACCGTCAACTACAAACGTCTCAACGCTCTGGTGGATTTCGATGGACAACCTCTCCCTCGAGTGGACGGTATCTTGGATTCTCTGTACACCGGGAAAGTGTTCTCCATCTTCGACCTCAACTCGGCTTTCCACCAGATCGTTTGTGATGAAGACACTGTCCCGCTCACCGCCTTTTGCACTCCCACGCAGTTGTTCGAATGGCTTCGGATGCCGCAGGGCGCCAACGCAAGTCCGTCTTGGTTCGTCAAGGTCATCAACAGAGTGGTACACGGTCTGGAGCGTGTGCTGGCTTATCTGGACGATGTCATCTGTTTCGATGAGGAACCTCTGGGACACGTGCTAAACTTGATCGAGTTATTCAAACGACTGCGACAGTATAACCTCAAACTGTCTCCAGGGAAGGGTCGCGTCGGCGCCACGCACACCAACTTTCTCGGTCACACCATCTC